AACTGTAGTCCTGCAGGTTTTGAAAGACGAGCCTGCTATCATCAAATAAACATTCCGGATTCTTATGCAACGCTTGGCAGTATACCCTAGCTGGAGCTGGATGTCTCGCAATATGCAACCGACAACCTAAATACGGCAAATCATCTTCGCTACCAGTCTTCTCCAACATCAAATGCTTGTCATAACAACAAGATTCGTACTTCTCAAAAATTCTTTCGGTATTCTTAACAGAAGCCTCGTTATTAACCCTACACTTAATAAACAATGAAACATCATCCACAAGACGACATCCTTTCACCAACTTCGAGTCATTGCCCAAGCTTCGAAGAAAAACATACTCGTTGTGCATACACATCAAGCAGGCGAGTGCCTGGCTGGAAGACTTGCCCATTGGAATGCCAAATTGTTGTTTGACTACCTTTCCCATAGTCACGGTATAAGTATTACGCAGATCATAAGCAATAAATCTGATCAGCAAAAATACACATTTCGTAAAAAATGAACTTTTTTTCAAAAAATGAACTATTTCGACTGTGAATAAACACTCCGTACATGGCTCAATAGGGCATCATGCGACACTTTAAGTGAGGATAAATGGTCAGTATATGAGGTGTTGACATGGCAAATGTTGCGGTGGGGTGTTTTGAGCCCTTCGTACATGAATAGTCATATTATCAAATGTGAATTAACACCTCAGTGTAAAAAAGGGAAGGAGCTCTTTGTATGACACCTTGACAATGTTGTCCTGGCTAGGTGTTGCCAACGACTGTGACATACAGTACACGATTCAAAAGGGCATCCTGTTGGGTATGTGGTGCCTGTTTTCCATAAAAGGTCAGGGGTCTAGCGCCCGAAGTTGATGGACTGAACCCGTCAACTGTGGTCGGGCGGAACACCCAGCCTAGTGCACGACATTTGGCAAGTTGAAATCGCAAGCCGTCAGCACCCCTGCAACAAATGTGTCCACCATTTATCTTCCCGGAATGACCTCCTTCTTCGGTTGACAGATAGTAGTTGAACATCGAATCAATCCGTAGTTAGTGGTGTCCGACAGAGCACCTAAAGGAAGTGTCAAACAATCGTTCGCTCTCGATGTCGATTGCCAATAGCACTCTTAGGGGGACTTGATGCTGGTTCCTGATCTGTTTGGCGATTGAGCAGCTTGAAGTAGTCTGAAACAGTCATTGGTTGTCTGTGTGGATTACCATCAACACTCTTAAGGAATCTTGATGCGAGATCTGATTCCGGGTGGAGAGAGAGAGAGAGAGAGAGAGAGAGAGAGAGAGAGAGAGAGAGAGAGAGAGAGAGAGAGAGAGAGANGAGAGAGAGAGAGAGAGAGAGAGAGAGAGAGAGCGAGAGAGAGAGAGAGAGAGAGAGAGAGAGAGAGAGAGAGAGAGCCGTGATTGGGAGAGGGTCCGAGCTCGTAGCTTTAATCCGGAAAGGGATTGACAGATACTGGTTGAAAAGGAAATGAATTCGCAGTTTTCGGTGTTTTTTAACCGGAAAAGGCATTGACAGATACTAGTTGAACAGCGAATCAATTCGCAGATATCAGTTTTCGACAGAGTTCCTTAAGGAAGTGTCAAACCGTCATTGGCTCTCTGTGCGGATCCGTTTGGTGCACCTTCAACAAGTGTGAAATAGTCGTTGGCTGTCTGTGCGGATAGCCACGAACTCTAAGGAAACCTTGATGCTGGGTGTGGATTTGCTTGCCGCAGGTTAGCAGGTTGTGGGCAGTCTTGGATGCTGAAGTCCGCCACCGGGACAAGGTTTGACGGTCTGTGGTGAGCCTTCCTGTTGGATCTGGATCTGTTTTGAGCAGAGTTTCGCACTCCACAAACAGAATTGAACTCCAGATCCCGCAGGTTATTAATTGTTGGACAGTCTTTGATGGTCAATCGCAACTGGGGCTAGGGTTGTGGGTCTGTGGTGGTCCTTTCTGTTGGACCGGGATCTGTTTCGAACGGAGTCTCGCACTCCACAAACATAAGTGAACTTAAGGTCCTGCAGGTTATCAGTTGTTGGGCAGTCTTTGATGCTTAATTGCAACCGGGGCTAGGTTTGCGGCCGTTTCTGCTGAATGGGATATAAGCAAAGTGCAAGTGAACTATTTCGACTGTGAATAAACACTAAGTGAGGATAAATGGTGAGTATATGAGGTGTTGACATGACAAATATTGCGGTGGGGCTTTTTTAGCCCTACGTACATGAATAGTCGTTACTAAATGCGAATTAACACCTAAGTGTAAAAAAGGGCAGGGGCTCTTTGTATGACACCTTGACAAATGTTGTCCTGGCTAGGTGTTGCCAACGACTGTGACAGACAGTATATGATTCAAAAGGGTATCATGTTGGGTATGTGGTGCCTTTTTTCAATAAAAGGTCAGGGGTCCGGCGCCCGACACCTTGCAAGTTGATGGACTGAACCCGTCAACTGTTGTCGGGCGGAACACCCAGCCTGGTGTACGACATTTGGCAAGTTGAACTCGCAAACCGCCAGTACCCCTGCAACAAATGTGTCCATCATTTATATTCTCGGAAGGACCTCCTTCTTCGGTTGACATATAGTAGTTGAACACCGAATCAATCCATAGTTAGTGGTGTTACGTCATCAAATCGTTGCGTGAACGAATTCGTAACATAGAGTCATAACATTCACTTAAGCGGATTGTTCGGTGTTCAGATCACAAGTGCGAGTGAACTCGGAGTTAGATGGAGAGCTAGGTGTGCACACCACTGAAGTGGAATTCTCGGGGTGCACACATTGCAGAGTACACAACGTTTTTCCAAAAATCACAATTTCATAACTACGAACATACTCGGTATATCGTCCACTTGCAACTACTGCCTCTCGCACCTCTATCTACTACTTCATGCCCACCATTTATGGGCGCACATCCACATGTACATCATGATCCACAAGATTGTATTTTCACTCGTTTTCCCTTAAACACAAGGTCTGACCACCCGTCCGTATCTTGTGACGTACGGGGTTTCCCGCGGACGAGGTCATGAACTGAAGCCATACATGACATTCATAAATGATCCATATACGTGGATCTGCATGGACCACATTTCGTAAAAAATGATAAGTCCCCTTCTGAGGCCAACACTTAACATCAAAATGTAACGAATCTAGGTTATTAATTTAGCAAATGACAAGTCCCCTGGTGAGGCCAACACTCAATCGTCACGCCCAGTGCTGTATATCCACAAGCTCCTCACTTAAGCAAATTGCGAGTGAACTCTGACTTAAGTGCGAGTGAACTCGCACTCACATGGAGAGGCAGGTGCGAGTGAACGCGCACTCAGACGGAGAGGCAGGTGCGCACACCATCAGGGTGATGATTAAATATGGACATTGGCTTGTAATTTGTATATCAGGTGTTGAAATGGTCATCAAATGTTTGCATGGACGAATTCGTAACATAGATTCATTACATTCACTTAAGCAGATTGCTCGGGGTTCGGAGCACAAGTGCGAGTGAACTCGCAGTTAGATGGAGAGGTAGGTGGTCACACCAATGAAGTGGAATGGTCGGGGTGCACACAGCAAGTGCGAGTGAACTCGCACTTAGATGGACAGATAGGCGCGCACACCATGAGCTTATGTGTGTAATGTACAAGGAAATCGACGTGTCATTTTTGTATTCCCTGATGAAAATATCGTCATTTCTTTGCATGGACAAGATACATAACATCCATTCAGAACATTCACTTGTGTCGCCGCAACATCGAGATGGAAACTCTTGCAAGTTGGGTAGTGTTTCATTCAACCGCACATTGCAAAGTACAAAGGGTTGTTTCGGAAAAACATTCATTGCAAAAAGTCATTCAATCACACATTGCACAGTAGACGGCGACATTTCGAAAATCGCAAATCACACAACCACTAACACACTCGGTGTAGCGTCTGCCTGCAACTAATGTCACGTTGCAAACTACCTGCAACTACTGTCATCGCAGTTAGATGCACTGTCACTTAAGTGGATTGCTCGACGTTCACACCACAAGTGCGAGTGAACTTGCACTTAAATGGAGAGTTGGGTGCGCACACCGACAACGTTTAGACGGTCTACCCACGACACGCAATAACATCTCTCAATGTTTACACGGTCTACCCATGTTTTCAAACACGTAAAACACAACGGAGCAACATAATTCTTCCCGACGGCACGCAAAAACATCACCCAATGTTTAGAATGTCAACCGATGACGACCGACCGTTGTGCACATGCGTTCATTGAAAGTTCGAACAGGCGACCCGAACGTAAGACACTGCGGCGCATCGACTAAAGCATCTTCCGTGAACATAGAAATGTATTTCATGCGGACGAACCCGGTCCTTCCGGCCAGAGACCTACCTATAGCATCCCGTATAGAGGACGCTTGAGCTTCAACCTCACGCCATGCGTCCACATCATCCACCTTACTCCCGATTACCAAATCCCATGTCCCTTCGAATTCTCTTGTGACCAAACCCATCCCGTCTCTCCTGAGGTGCAACTCAGTCCTGGACACGTAGACCACAACGTCAGTCAAGGTCCTATTACGATTCGAACACGCGACGCAAAGGACCCTAGATAAGAATAACATCCCGAGACGCAATCTAACGTAGCAGTAGGAAACTACTCGAGGCAACAGCCCTGGAGAGCGCAACGGGTACTCATCGAGGAACTCAGAATGTCATGCACAGGCAAGCAACTCGTGTTTCAGCGCACGAGACCATGTGCGCGGCGAAGCAGTCACGACGTTGCAGGCCAGCACATTGTGATGACGAGCAATATTAAGCTTTCCACTCAAGTGACGACACAGAACTAAACCGAGTACAGATCTGGGCACGGGAATAAAACTCCCGAACTTGCACATATTAGCGAACTTATAGTCGTCCGCCCACGGACACTCCCTGAGCATTTTGTCCCATTCATGCTCTTTCCACGAGTCCAGGCAATCATCAGTGAACGGGACGACCGTCATCCAAGGATCACACTCGAAGTCGTCTCTTGTCGCACCGTCAATAACAATGGAGTGTCCACTGCCGGAGACACGTAGCGAGCATGGGGGAAAAGGGTATGTCATGCGCTCACGCCAAAGAACCGGGGTCATCCACTCCGAGATGGCCATCGCGATCGGCAAATGCCCTGCATGCCACAATGATAAAAATCAGCAAATGCATACACCCCGCTCACAGGGAAAGAAAATAACCATGCTCCCCAAGGACGTCCGTCGAAACTCCGATGACAGACGTCTTGTTCCGAGAGAGAGAGAGAGAGAGAGAGAGAGAGAGAGAGAGAGAGAGAGAGAGAGAGAGAGAGAGAGAGAGAGAGAGAGAGAGAGAGAGAGAGAGAGAGAGAGAGAGAGAGAGAGAGAGAGAGAGAGAGAGAGAGAGAGAGAGAGAGAGAGAGAGAGAGGCACTAGTTGAACAGCGAGTCAATTCGCAGTTATCGGTGTTCGACAGAGCACCTTAAGGAAGTGTCAAACAGTCATTGGCCGTGTTCCCGGATTGCCATTTGCACTCGGAAGGGAACTTTGATAGCAGGTTGATGTCAGGTCGGGCTCTGTTTGGTGACTGACCACCTTCAAGAAGTGGCAGACCACCTTCAAATAGTGTCAAGCAGTCGTTGGTGATGACTGTGTATTTGGTTCCCGCAGGTTCTCAGTTGTCGGTGCGGATTGCCATTAGCACTCTTACGGAATTTGCATGTCCGCAGCGTGTGAGGTCCTTATGTGGGATGCATCCGAGATGCTAATGTATCAAGCGGGGGTCAACATAACTACATGTATGCAACACCGAGCACCCGTCGGCATGTACGCAAGCAATGGAAGTGATCACGACCCTTCTGCATCGGTAGAAATGACCACCCTCACAAAGTGCCAAACAGTCGGCGGTCAGAGCTCTATAGTGCTAAAAGCATTCTTAGGGGACCTTGCGGTCATGTTCAGAACTTATTGGCGTAGCACTAGATGCTCACCAAACAGTTTTGGATGTCGATTGTATCAAGACATCATATGGTGCTTACAAGCAAGCAGTGCCTGATTCCAGGACCTTCTACCCGGTGTGGATCTTTGAAAACAGATTTGACGCAATCCACCGTTAGATCCATTTCCGAAGAGGGGGACTTGCCATCTTGCCGTTGTTTACTGTAGTCATCACGTGGGAATCGATGACGTGAGGAACCGACAATGAACACTCTTAGGGGACTTTGCGGCCGTGTTTTGAACTTATTGGCGTAGCACTAGATGCTCACCAAGCAGTTGTGGATGTCGGTTATATCGACACATCATATGATGCCTTACAAGCGAACAGTGGTCGGATCCCGGCCCCCATCCACGGTATGGATCTATGAAAGCAGATTTGACGCAATCCACCGTTAGATCCACATCGGAGAGGCGGACCGGTCATCCTGCCGTGGTTCAGTGTAGTCATCATGTGGGAGTCGACAACGCAAGGACCCGACAATGTTCCAATTGGGACGTGCTCTTGCATCATGCTTCAGGTGCTTACCAACGGTGCGTTCGATCCTCTTCTTTACATGAGCATCTTTTATCAAAAACATGCATGCATCGGAACACATGAAGATGAGAGATCGAAACATTTGCAAGGTCACTATTGTGAAAGTCGGGAGAGATAGAGAGAGGGAAACATTTGCAGGTTGCCTGTCGTTTTTGTAAAGGTCAAGTCGAAGCAAAGTGCGAGTGAACTCTAACTTAAGTGAATTGCTCGGGGTTCACAGCAGAAGTGCGAATGAACTCGCACTTAGATGGAGAAGCAGGTGCGCACACCATCAGCGTGATGATTTATCATGGACGTTGGCTTGTCATTTGTATATTCTTGGGTGAAAATATCATAAAATCTTTGCATGGACAAGAAACATAAGATTTGTTCATAACATGAAGTCTGCCTTTTGTTTTCGTAAAGGTCAAGTTGTACACCGCACAGAGAGTTTCAAAAAATCGTTCAATGCAAAAAAAAGCATTGAACAGCACAACGTGTTTTCGAAAACCATTCACTGCAAAAAATCACTCAATCACATATTGCACAACACAGAGAGGCTACACACATGCAACTACTGCCTCTCACACATCTCTCTACTACTTCATATCTACCATTTTCGGCTACATACATGCCTTTCACACCTCTCGCTCCTTTCACCTTAAACACAAGGTCTGGCAACCTGTCCGGATCTAGCCCGACGACGTCGCGAACCGAAGCTATACATAGCATTCATTGACGATCCATATATGTGGATCTGCGGTTCCTCGATTGTTGCGTTCTCTGAAAATACAGACATGTATATTATTCTAACGAACCCTCCCGGTCGTGCTAAGGAACTACCTATACAGTCTCGTATGTCAGACACTTTCTCTTCCACCTCACGCCACAACGAAAAATCTGTGACCTGGTCTGCTATCACCAAATCTGGCCACCCATCTACACCAGGACGCCTATGCATAGGCACGAATTTGGACCCCTCAATTACCACCTCGTTGCGTGACACACGCACAACTGCATCGATGAGTTTCCTACTTTTGTCCGAAGTAGCGACCCATAGCACTCTGGTGAAATCATATCCGGATACAGTCAACCGCACACAACAGTACGACACAGCCTGCGGAGAAATCCTGGGGCAACGGAGTGGGTACTGCTTCAAGAATGGACAATGACGAGCGCATTCCACCAACTCTTGTTTCCTCGACCTTCCCCAAGCTCGTGGCGAAGACCTGATGTAGTGGCAGTCGAGGCAACTGAAATAGCGGCTGATGTAGCGGACTGTTTTGCGCATACGGTTCAGGAACTTGTGCTCAAGGACACCATCAGGCAGTGCAATGAGGTTCCCGAACTCTAACATGTTGGCAAACTTGTAATGGCTCGCCCAAGGGCAGACACTCTCCATCGTCTCCCAATTACCCTCGCACCAATCGTCGAGATGCTGGTTCAAGAACGGGACGACGATCATCCACGGGTCCTCTTCGAAGTCCTCATTGGTTGCTCCGTGGATTGAAGCATGATCGTCACAACGCCGCACCGATTTTGCACAAGGAGGAACTGGTTCAGCTAAAGGCATGTGCGTCTCAGGACGCATGCCCATCCTTGTCGACGCTCTCAACGACATTATGCACCCTACACATCGCACACATATATCAAATGACACATAAGGACATGTAGACACTTGTAAAAAAAGTCGGCAAATGATAACTCCCCTAGTGAGGCCTACACCAGTCGTCAGGTCCCAAACTGAGTATTCACAAGGTTTCTACATGCTTTGTAGTACAGGTACTGTACTACCAAACGAGCATGCAGCTTTGCCTGATGTGTTCATGTAACTGACTTTTTCCCCCCCTAATCGAACGACATTTTCTCCATTCCTAACTCCCAGTGATGGTACATGCCTATCTAAGGTAAGTGCGAGTGAACTCTCACTTGAGCTCATCACTCGGGGTTCACACAACAAGTCCGATCGGTAGGTGCTTCGAGTCGCTCGGTCGGTAGGTCCTTCGAGAGCCTCGGTCGGTACGTGCTTGGAGTGGCTCAGTTGGTAGATGCTTGGAGTGACTCTGTCGGTAGGTGTTTGGAGTGAATTGGTGGGTATGTGCTTGGAGTGGCCCAATCCATATAGGTACTTGGAATGGCTCGGTCAGTAAGAACTTGGAGTGGCTCATTGGGGAGGTGCCTGGAGTGGCTCGGTCGGTAGGTGTTAGGATTGGCTCGGTCGGTAGGTGCTTGGAATGGCTCGGTCGGTACATGTGCTTG